ACGACCACAAAGAGACATGAAACAACCACAGAGAGACATAAGACAACCACAAAGAGACATAAAACAACCAAAAAGAGACATAAAACAACCACAAAGAGACATGAAACAACCACAGAGAGACATAAGACAACCACAAAGAGACATGAAACAACCACAAAGAGACATGAAACAGCCACAAAGAGACATGAAACAGCCACAAAGAGACATAAAACGAATACAAAAAGACATGAAACAGCCACAAAGAGACATGAAACAACCACAAAGAGACATACAACGACCACAAAGAGACATGAAACGACCACAAAGAGACATGAAACAACCACAGAGAGACATAAGACAACCACAAAGAGACATAAAACAACCAAAAAGAGACATAAAACAACCACAAAGAGACATGAAACAACCACAGAGAGACATAAGACAACCACAAAGAGACATGAAACAACCACAAAGAGACATGAAACAGCCACAAAGAGACATGAAACAGCCACAAAGAGACATAAAACGAATACAAAAAGACATGAAACAGCCACAAAGAGACATGAAACAACCACAAAAAGACATGAAACGACCACAAAGAGACATAAAACAGCCACAAAAAGACATGAAACAACCACAAAGAGACATACAACGACCACAAAGAGACATGAAACGACCACAAAGAGACATGAAACAACCACAAAGAGACATAAAACGACCACACAGAGACATGAAACGACCACACAGAGACATAAAACGACCACACAGAGACATGAAACGACCACAAAGATGCAGCATGAGCACAGGGAGCTGTAAACTGTGGCGGTGTTTCTCTGATTTAACGCCACCTTCTCTCCCATCAGGTCGGGCTGGATGCCGAAGAACGGCCTCATGGCCATGGTGGGGATGATGGGAGCTCCTTCGTCTGCAGGTCGAGGGGTGATACAGACTCCACCCGTCTCTACAGGAGGCACAGTGGGACAGAAATCAATCAATTCAATTTCAATTCAATTCAATTTTCAATTCAATTCAAACAGCTTTATTGGCATGAACAGAAATATGTTGTTGCCAAAGCATTTTACAGAATATTTACATACAAACTTACAATATTACAATTCAATACAATACAATATAATTTATACAATTGGATATAAATCCATGCATTTTAGGATGTTATAGTGAGTGAGTCCCTCAGGTTGTGGCAGGCAGATACATGTTTAGCTGCCAGAGGAGCTGCTGTCCCTTCACCCAGCACAACTGACAGTTCCTCCTCTGGTGTGAACATATGAAAGGCTGTTATGTTCTTATCATTGTTTCACATTAAAGGACAGACTTTAACCCCGGCAGAGAGACGCAGGGTTCAACTCTCTGATGTGGCGTTCGAGTGCGGCTGGGTGTGTTTGTTAAATATTTGATGATAAATATTGAACCAGGTGTTGACACACCTGCTGACAGAGACGTGTCTTAGCTCTGGGGTCACATCATGGAGGATTTACTGTTCCTGTCAGCGCCCCTGGAGGCAACCACATGTCTGTCTGTGAGGTGTTCATGTGTCACTGTGAAGAAGACCACTGAGGAAGATTCAGCAGAATAGTGTTTCCTGTTTTAAACACACTGATGAAAATATTAAAACATGTATTTAACATGTCAGCGGTGATCTCTGTGAATAAACATATACATGAGTTTCTTCTCTTCCAGTGAGTCAGCAGTGAGGTGCAGCGGCCACCAGGGGGCGTCACATGTCGCAGCTTTAATTTCCTTTAATTTCTTAATTTATTGGGGATTTTATTTTCCTTTGAAGGGAAGGAAGCAGCTGGCAGAGAGTTTAAAGTCCCACTGAAAAACAACACACATTCACTGATTGTCCAGGAATTAGGTCACGCTCACACACACACACACACACACACACACACACACACACACACACACTGTCAGTGATCCTCGACTGTCTTGTTCCTGGGGGGTTGGAGCTGGTGTAAGTGTGTGAGGAGGATTTGATCTTAATTCTGTGGAGCTGCAGATGTTGTTGCTGCTAATCTGTGAAATTAGGGTTAAAGCTTCAGTAAAGAGAGACGAGGACGGACGGACACAAACAGCCTGATCAACAACCACAGAAGAAGAGAAGGAGACAGAGCTGAGAGCTGTGTTTAATGACCTGAATTATCTCCAACATCCAACTGAACATCCTCTTCACCGGACGTCTGTGTGTGTGTGTGTGTGTGTGTGTGTGTGTGTGTGTGCGTGTGTGTCTGTCTGTGTGTCTGTCTGTCTGTCTGCCTGCCTGTGTGTGTGTGTGTGTGTCTGTGTGTCTGTCTGTCTGCCTGTCTGTCTGTGTGTGTGTGTGTGTGTCTGTGTGTCTGTGTGTCTGTCTGTCTGTGTGTCTGTGTGTCTGTCTGTGTGTCTGTCTGTCTGCCTGTCTGTCTGTGTGTCTGTGTGTGTGTCTGTCTGTCTGCCTGTCTGTCTGTGTGTCTGTGTGTCCTCACTTCCTGTTTATAAATCACTGTCTCTACAAACGTCCCGTCCTGATCTCGCTCCTGACACAACATCCAATGTTAGGCACACATCTATCAGCAGGTGGCGCTGTGACGTGTTTATCATTGCAGCTGCAGGTTAAATGGATCAGTGGCTTCTGTAATTCTGTGTAACTGCAGAGCAACTTTTATGCAGTTCAAGAGCAACATTTCAGTAATTTGAGAGCAATTCAAGAGCAACATTTTAAGAGCAACATTTCAGAGTAAGATTTAAGTAATTCACTTGAAATAATTTGAGATAAAGTAATTAGAATGAAACAGTGAACAGACTCAGTGTCTCTGTCCGTCCTCACAGGCCTCAAACAGTGAGGACAACATGAGACACACTGGAATGAGGACAACACGAGACATGCATCACAGATGTCAGTGTGTCTCACCTGTCTGCCACCAGGTGTCCACCAGAGGACAGCGTTCGTCTCCGACCACACTGTGGAACCAGTGCCAGGCCTCGTGGTTGATGGGCTCTCCCACTGTAAACAGGGACAGAGACAGGGACAGAGAGAGAGACAGGGACAGAGAGAGAGACAGGGACAGGGTTAGAGACAGAGACACAGACAGACAAAGACAGAGACAGAGATAGAGACAAAGACAGAGAAAGGCAGACAGACACACAAACAGACAGGGAGACAGAGACAGACACAGACACAGACACAGAGACAGACAGACAGACAGACAGACAGGTCACATGATCAGTTAACATGTTTACAATGGGGTTATCAATAGATTGATTACTGATCTTTGATCTGATGATGTCAGTAATTAAAGTAATCTTAAAGTTCATGTTGACCTGAGGATAAACTGAGGGACATGTTGGAGACACATGGACTTCACTGAAGAAGCGTGTTTCTGTTTATTATTATAATTAATAATAATATTGTCTGTCTCTGAGTTAGTTTTCTGAAACAGCCACAAAGAGGCACGAAACAACCACAAAGGGACATGAAACAATCACAAAGAGACATGAAATAACCACAAAGAGGCATGAAATAACCACAAAGAGACATGAAACGGCCACAAAGAGACATGAAACAACCACAAAGAGACATTAAACGGCCACAAAGAGACATGAAACAACCACAAAGAGACATGAAACAGCCACAAAGAGGCATGAAACAACCACAAAGAGGCACGAAACAACCACAAAGGGACATGAAACAATCACAAAGAGACATGAAACAACCACATAGAGGCATGAAATAACCACAAAGAGACATGAAACGGCCACAAAGAGACATGAAACAACCACAAAGAGACATTAAACGGCCACAAAGAGACATGAAACAACCACAAAGAGACATGAAACAGCCACAAAGAGGCATGAAACAACCACAAAGAGGCACGAAACAACCACAAAGGGACATGAAACAATCACAAAGAGACATGAAACAACCACATAGAGTCATGAAACGGCCACAAAGAGACATGAAACAACCACAAAGAGACATGAAACAACCACAAAGAGACATGAAACAGCCACAAAGAGGCATGAAACAACCACAAAGAGGCACGAAACAACCACAAAGAGACATAAAACAATCACAAAGAGACATGAAACAACCACAAAGAGACATGAAACAACCACAAAGAGGCATGAAATAACCACAGAGAGACATGAAACAATCACAAAGAGACATGAAATAACCACAAAGAGACATGAAACGGCCACAAAGAGACATGAAACAACCACAAAGAGACATGAAACAGCCACAAAGAGACATGAAACAACCACAAAGAGACATGAAACAGCCACAAAGAGGCATGAAACAACCACAAAGAGACATGAAACAACCACAAAGAGACATGAAACAGCCACAAAGAGACATGAAACAACCACAAAGAGACATGAAACAACCACAAAGAGACATGAAACAGCCACAAAGAGACATGAAACAACCACAAAGAGACATGAAACAGCCACAAAGAGACATGAAACAACCACAAAGAGACATGAAACAGCCACAAAGAGACATGAAACAACCACAAAGAGACATGAAACAGCCACAAAGAGACATGAAACAACCACAAAGAGACATGAAACAGCCACAAAGAGACATGAAACAACCACAAAGAGACATGAAACAGCCACAAAGAGACATGAAACAACCACAAAGAGACATGAAACAGCCACAAAGAGACATGAAACAACCACAAAGAGACATGAAACAGCCACAAAGAGACATGAAACAACCACAAAGAGACATGAAACAGCCACAAAGAGACATGAAACAACCACAAAGAGACATGAAACAGCCACAAAGAGACATGAAACAACCACAAAGAGACATGAAACAACCACAAAGAGACATGAAACAGCCACAAAGAGACATGAAACAACCACAAAGAGACATGAAACAACCACAAAGAGACATGAAACAGCCACAAAGAGACATGAAACAACCACAGAGAGACATGAAACAACCACAAAGAGACATGAAACAGCCACAAAGAGACATGAAACGGCCACAAAGAGACATGAAACAGCCACAAAGAGACATGAAACAGCCACAAACAGACATGAAACGACCACAAAGAGACATGAAACAGCCACAGAGAGACATGAAACAGCCACACAGAGACATGAAACAGCCACAAACAGACATGAAACAGCCACACAGAGACATGAAACAGCCACAAAGAGACATGAAACAACCACAAAGAGACATGAAACAACCACAAACAGACATGAAACAGCCACAAACAGACATGAAACGACCACAGTCTAATTCCACTAACTGTGGATCCGACTGACCTCATGGTGCTTAATGTCTTTCACCATTTCAAACAGCCGAGGGCTCCACTGTAGAAATTGGATTTTTAGAAAATGTTTGATTCAGTTTTTACGTGTCTGTTTTATTTATGTGTCGCTGCGAGAGAGAGACTCATCTGTTTACTGATTAAAGCGGTGACATCACTGTTTCCTGTGGTGTTTAACAGCCAATCAAAGTGTTGTAGAGAGACGACAAAGACCGACTGATTTTAAGGGTTATTTAAGAAAAGAGGAACAGACGTTCATCTTGATCTTCCATCACAACATTAACTGTGACCCACCTGAGCCACTGTGACATACAGAGACATGACATCACTGTGTGACATCACGTTTAGATTCTATTACAACACATTTAAACACATTGTCTCAGGGTGTGCTGGGAAACTCTGCCCATTTATTCCCAACGCGCCACAAAATATTCGATTGTGTTGTTTATTGGCTACAAACTAATGAGGTGTTCACTCAACACAAAACCTCCACCCTGTGAGCCTGACATCATGTTTCATGTTCACTTGTTCACTCAACACAAAACCTCCACCCTGTGAGCCTGACACCATGTTTCATGTTCACTCAACACAAAACCTCCACCCTGTGAGCCTGACATCATGTTTCATGTTCACTCAACACAAAACCTCCACCCTGTGAGCCTGACATCATGTTTCATGTTCACTCATCACAAAACCTCCTCCCTGTGAGCCTGACACCATGTTTCATGTTCACTCAACACAAAACCTCCTCCCTGTGAGCCTGACATCATGTTTCATGTTCACTCAACACAAAACCTCCACCCTGTGAGCCTGACATCATGTTTCATGTTCACT